TTCAAAGATTGTTTATTATTTATTTTTTGTATTAATTCTCATTTGTTTACATTGTTCTGTGTTTTTCTGTCCTTTTGTAAATGGAAAGGTTAAAAATGACCGAAATAAATAAACATAAACAAAAAACACAAATATACGGCTGTTGTTTGATGGAAGTCACCAAAGAAGAAGAGTTAATTGTGGCTGAAGACTGATTAAACCCAGAAAATATTCCCTAACATATGGAACCTGACTCTGCAGAACTTGAAATATTAAAGTTATTATGTATACAGTAAAATCATCAGCTGTAAATAATGCAGAATATAAAGCCTGTCTTTGCTTTATAAAAGTAAAAATAATATTTTTAACTTTTTTCAATTGGTTTTTTCTAATTTATTAAAAAAAGATTATTTGTTTGTGTTTATTGTGAAACAGAAAAACAGAACGAACCGTACACGGTTTCTGCTCATCTGGTCTCGTTGGGTTGCCAGATAAGAAATGCCATCTCTTTGTATTGATTGCATTTTGGCCCAAATGATGGTGCGTGCTGAGCGAGGGGAGGGGGCGGGGCTTCCTGGACCAGCAGGAGGTCAGATGAGGTGTGGATGCTGCGCAGAGAAGAAGGATTTCACTCTAAAACTTGTTTATCTGGCAACATGAAATCTGAGCCCCTCCTCTTTTTAAAGTGCCTGTGGCATCAAATTTTTGTAATAAATATGAATGTGTTTTTGGAAAGAGAACATTGATAACACATTGCAAAACAAATTTCACGCCGTTGAGATGAACAGTTGTTGAGATATTTTCCTCTAAAGAAACAGGAAGTGATGTCAAAGGGGAATGTCTGCATGTAAACAGAGTGTTGCTACATTATTAACAGACTATAGAGAAGAATCTGATGTTTCTTAAGATTATTTTGAATCATTATCAGAGAGATGAATTAGACTTTAAATAATATTGTTTTTAAAAAAAGACTAGAGTTTCTTTTCTTAGAGTTCTCCTTTGACGTCACTTCCTGTTTCACTTTGCTGAGCCAAATTCACGAGAAAATAGGCCAGTTATGTGACAAAATGGGTAAAATCATGTTTATTATGCTAATTTTCTTAAATATAAAGATGTTTTCTTTGACTTTTTGTATTTGATAAGCATGTCACAGGAACTTTAAAGTTGTTTTTCTCTTAATGCCTTCAAACCATCTGTCTTCTCTGTCCAAACATGCTGTCCTCAGCAGACTGTGTCCCTGAGGTGTGGGACAGCTGAGGCTGTCTGTGGACAGGTGCTGTAGTTTCTCTAACACAGAACCAAACATGGAAACAACAGGCGAGCATCAWTGAACAAAGAAACTACAGAAACAAGCTCGTCTGACAGACAAAGCTCCTTTTCTTGGCCTGTTTCTGACAGAATCTGCAGCTTCAGCTCWGCTCTGCTCTGAGTTTCGGCTCGGTTCAGATCTGGTCCCAGGCTGTTCTCAGAAAAGTCTCGGCTCGTCTTCTGTTTGTTCCTCCTGCAGCTCAAAGGCCAGCGGTCCTCCCACTGCCAGCCTGGTGAAAAGTGACACGTTTCAGCAGCACAGATACGAAAACTTCATCTCATTCTGCCTCACAGAGACAGTCCTAATGTCACGAGACGGGTACCACTCTGTGCTGGGACCACTCTCAGCTACTACCACTTCATCCTGCTGGACTGGACATGATGAGTGGACAGGGACATGTCTCCAGGTCCTCTGGCGTCCCMCTCAGAACAAAAATATGACTTAAAGAATCATCAGTGACGACACTGTCCCTGAGGGAGACGACCAATCGTTTGTCGCTATGTGTCCCTATGAGGGACTGGGACATGTCCTGGTGTCTCTGAGACATGTCCAGGTGTCTCTGTAGTGGACTGGGTCATGTCCAGGTATCACTGTAGTGGACTGGGACATGTCCAGCTGTCTCTGTGGTGGAAAGGGACATGTCCAGCTGTCTCTGTAGTGGACTGGGACATGTCCAGCTGTCTCTGTGGTGGAATGGGACATGTCCAGCTGTCTCTGTAGTGGACTAGGACATGTCCAGGTATCTCTGTAGTAGACTGGGACTTGTCCAGCTGTCTCTGTGGTGGACTGGGACATGTCCAGCTGTCTCTGAGGTGGAATGGGACATGTCCAGCTGTCTCTGTAGTGGACTGGGACATGTCCAGGTATCTCTGTAGTAGACTGGGACATGTCCAGCTGTCTCTGTGGTGGACTGGGACATGTCCAGGTGTCACTGTAGTGGACTGGGACATGTCCAGGTATC